GGCGGGGGCGGCGGCGGCGGAGGCGGCGGTAGCAGTTTCAACTTCGGCAGCATCCTCACCATGCTGATGTCCCTCAAGAGCGGCCTCACGAGCGGACTTGGCGGTGGCCTTACGGGATCCTCTGTGAGCGGAGGCAGCTACCAGCCCAGCACCAGCAGCTACGCCCCTGCCCGCCCCAGCTCCTCGTACGGCGCCCCGGCGCCCGCCCCCGCACGCCCAAGCTCGTCGTACGGAGCGCCCGCCCCCGCTCCTTCATACTCCGCTCCTGCCCCGGCCCCGGCCCGCCCGAGCACATCGTACGGCGCGCCAGCGGCCGCCCCCGCCTCGTCCTACGCGGCCCCGCCGCAGTCCAGCCTCTCGGGCGGGTCCTACCCGGGCAGCAGCACATTCCGAAGGAGCGTAGGTGAGCGAGCATAAGGGAGAGCAGGTGAGACAGACAGACAGACAGACAGACGGACAGACAGACAGACAGACAGACAGACAGACAGACAGACAGACAGACAGACAGACAGACAGACAGACAGACAGAGAACGTCCTCTCACGTGCAACCTCTGAATTAGTCTTGAAATTTTCATAGGGCGTGGGCGTGGTTTCTAGCCGTGCATGACCCCTTGCCGTCTGTTTCAGGCTGATATGCTGGGGAGGCGGCCCGGAGGTGACCTGGGGGCGGCCTGGGGGCGGCCTGGGGGCGGCCTGGTGGCGGCCTAGGGGAGGCCGCAGCGTCCCGCTCCCAAAACACCATGAGCGGCCAGCTGACCCCCCGAGCCCAGCACTCTAGTCAAAGCACCGCGGCTTGCCACTCGGACTCGGAGGGGTGCCGCGCTGCCGCACCGCACCGGCCGGGCTGACGGCAAGCATCCAGCACCACCTCGCGGACTCACTACAACGCCAAAGAGTACACGTGTAACGAGACGTGTGACGCCACAACGTGCGTTTATTTTTCATGAGTTGATCGGACCATTAAAACAGTTTTACGCATCGGTGTGTAATTTCTTATCTTTTTTTTTTTTTGTCCTCTTGTAGAATAGATTTCTCATTTGTGTGTGTGTTTTATCGTGTTCTGGTATTCAATGTGATCTCTGCGCTTCTAACCGTGGATCCCCTCCGCACCCTCCCCATGTCCGCGCCTCTGCATTCACAGCCACGGCCCGGGCCCCGCCCCCGCAGCACTTGGCTGGCGCGGCTTTGGGGTGGACACGCGCCGACCATCGACACCACGGCTGGTGGCGCAGATAGGACCCAATAAACCCCAAGTTGAGAGAATAAAAGTTCGCCAACAACTTCGCCCTCCTTCCCCGCGGCCACTCGCCGCCTGGCCCGGAGCGCGGCGGCACATTACAGCCGCCGAACGCTCGCCGAGCTGTGTGTAACGACCGGGGAACTCGTCATATCGGAAGATCGACTTTCGAGATTTCCACAGTTTTCTTTTATTAACGGTGACTCGACTTTGCTGAGCCTGTGGATGTTCGGACCCCTCTCCCTCTTTTCCCTTCGAGGTAATTAACGCACCGTAGGCAGTAGCCCGCTGGGGGCCGGGTGTCACGGCGGGGAGGGTCGGAGGTGGTGGGCGGGGAAGGGGGGTGGGGCGAGGCGAGGTGGGGTAGGGCCGTGGCGCAGAGCCCCATCGCCTGTTGAGTCGCTAAGCCCCGACGGTAGTCCACCGCGAGCCCGCGGGGGCAAATTCTGAAAAATAACCTCCACTTTGGGGTGGGACGTGAGGGGGAGGAGGAGGAGGACTTTTGGCGGTCATTTGTCCTGGGCGCCGCGGGCGGCCTGCCCCCAGGTCTGCCGGATGAAGTGCGCGCCCCGCTCGGCCAGCATGATGACGGGGGCGTTGGGGTTGCCGCTGGGCAGCAGCGGGAAGGAGCTGGCGTCCACGACGCGGAGCCTCGGCACGCCGCGCACCTGCATCCTGGCGTCGAGCACGCCGGGCCGGTGGGGGGCCGCCATGCGCGCCGTGCCCGCCGTGTGGAAGGTGTTGAGCGTGTGCGTGCGCGCGGCGCACTCCCAGTAGGCCGTCGAGCCGAAGGCGTGCTGCTCGCAGCCGGGCAGCGGCGCGCGGTTCAGCGTAAGGTTGGCGCGCTGGAAGGCCGGGGTGTCCTCGAGCGCGGCCGACGTCTGCAGCGCCTGCACGAGCAGCCGCAGGTCGCGGCCGGGCTCGTCGCCGAGCAGGTTGAGCCGGATGAGCGGCGGCGCGAGCGGGTCGGCGCTGCGCAGCCGCACCGAGCCCACGCTCTTGCAGTCCAGCAGCACGGGCGTCACCAGGATGCGGTCGTAGTACAGCGGGTCCTGCGGCGGCGCGGGGATGCACACGGGCCCGCCGCGTGACTGTGGCACGCCGGGGTGTTTTGGTCAGAGGCTAAGGTGACGACGGGATGGTGCTGCGGGGGGCGAGAACTCACCTTGGGGATGTTGCCGTAGAACCGCAGGTTCCACACGGGCCGGCCGTCGACGGACGGCCCCGACCCTCTGAGGAAGGCTGTCACCTCCTCCGGCCCGATGGACGACAGCGGACCGCCCGGCGCGAAGTGCGTGAAGTCCTGCTCGCGGGCGTTGATGTCGGCGGGCAGGGCGGGCCAGCCCGGCGGCAGCAGGAACTCGATGCCAAGGCTGGACACGTGGTTCATCAGGTTCTCGCCGACGTCGGGGAGGTCCTTGACAACCTATGGGGAGCAGAGGCAAGGGACGGGTGAGTCACCGTCGGCGTGGCGTGTGCCGAGGGAGGGGTATTCCACTCACAAACATCTTTGTAACCCCAAAAGAAATCAGGAAAATAATCGAATAAAAACTAACTTTAAAAAGCCAAAAGCGAAAATCAAAAAATTGGAAAAAATTGGAAAACAAAGAAAAATTGTTGTACGCTTGAAGTGAAGCCTCGGCGCACGTCCGGTTTTTTTGGACGTACCTTAATACCGAGTGACGAGAGGTGCTTCTTTGGGCCGATTCCGGACAGCATAAGGATCTGCAACACGAGACACGGGACACATCAGTGAGCGAGCACGTCGAGCACCCCCCAGATGACTCAAGCGACCCTGAGAGTACCCCCGGATTAGGCAGGGGTGCTCCCTGATGGACCCTCGGACCAACGCGAGGCATGCGCTGCGAACGCACCTGGGGCGAGTTCATGACGCCGGCGCTCAGCACCACCTCCTTGCTCGCGTACGCCCTCTTGAGCGTGCCGGTGTAGCCGTCGCGGTACTCCACGCCGCTGGCCTCGCCGCGGCGGAACAGGACCCTGGTGACGTGCGCGCGCGTGCGCACCTCCAGGTTGGGCCGGTGGCGCACGGGCCTGAGGAAGGCCCTGTTGGTGCTCGCCCGCTCGCCGTTGATGGTCGTGGTCTGCGCCATGGAGACGCCCGCCTGCACGGCGCCGTTGGGGTCCCGCTCGTCGAGGCCGATGTCCTTCATGGCCTGCACCAGCACCTTGCTGACGGGGTCCACGGCGGGCAGGCGCTGGACGGGGAGGGGCCCGCCCCTGGAGTGGAACGTGGTGTCCCTCGCCAAGTCCTCATCCAGGGCGTTCTCCGAGCGCAGGAAAAAGGGAAGGACGGAGGGGAAGAGCCAGCTGTCGTCCTCCAGCACGTTACCCCAGTCGTCGTAGTCTCTGCGGGCGGCGGAACAACTCTGTACTACTGAGCAGGGATAACGTCTGCCCGATACTCATCTCGACTATACTCCAGAACCCCACCCGTTCGAGGCCATAACAGGTCGATTTACCCGACGGATACGAAAGGAGCAGGAGGGGAGGGGTTAAAATCAACGTCGTAAAAAAAGTTCCGTTCAGGAACGGATCGTGAAAGCAGATGATACGAATTCAAGAATTATTCCAGTCTATAATATTTCAGTGGAAGATCACGTTACGCATTACTTGAATAGTATATAGATAATTTACAAATCTTAATTCACATTT